TGAAATGAAATTTGCGCCAAAGTCGCGGGTAAAGTAAATAACAAAATCAAACTTGAAGGAGAGCCAAAAACTATACCAAGCCAAAAAAAGGAAAAAAAAGGGAAAACCAAATAAAGCAAATACATTAGCTCGATTTGGGTTTTTGGCGAGTGCCGTGCTCACCGCAATTATTTAATTACACTCTTTGTATGTGTGTGCTTTCCCCTTGATCCCTGGATTTCCACACACCCAAACTTTCCCTCCCCCCGGATTTTGGGGTTTAATCAAAGAGCCAGGGCCAAGTCAAGCACACACCCACAGAGAATGGGAAAGAGAGAGAGCTCGGGCCAACGAAACTTTTGTTGCAACTTTTTCGGTGCAGCCAAGCAAATCGAGGCGCGACCTTTGAACCCTGCAAATGGAGCTAGGTGCCGGCAAGTACCCAAAGTACAGCAGTTCAGAGGGACAATGAGGTGGCGCCCACCATGCAGGCCACCCTTTTCACCGATACTTATGTATGTAGCTACGTTGGGACGGACAAGGGTCCCGATTCGTATCGCTAATGATGATCAAATAACGACCAAATGTCGACTTGCACTCAAACATAAGAGTACAGAGAGAAATTATGTTAAATAAAAGTTTAAAGATGGTTGTAATAGTAAATAAAATATGAATATACTAAATGATAATTAGGAAACACTTTAAACAAGTTTTTATTTTAAAATATAAAAATTGTTTTGGAGACAATTTAAGTTATTTTACTGAAAACATATTGTTAAATTATTAAATAAGTTCTGAGAAGGACAATCCTCTTACAGACTCAAATTTGTACCATAACATTCAAAGATGTTCATAATGAAAACTTGGTCTAAGATTCGTGTTTTGCTCGAGTTTGTTTATAATAATTTTCCAAATCTGACTATATTTTCTCAAAAACAAAATATCCTACAATTATATGTGGTGATGGAAAATTGTAGTAATGGAAAATTAGAATAAAATCTGTCAAAAATATATACTTTTACAGGTAACAAAAAAATGAAATTGATGAAAAATTCAAAAAAAAAAAATTGCGAAGATAAAATGATAAGTGAAATAAAAGAATAATCGATAAATAATTGAAATAAATAATTCCCCGATCCTTATTTAGACAACTCCCACCTTTACCACTTTATCTCCCAGTGTATCCCTTCATAGACACAGACAAAACGGACACAAAATCGTTAGCCCACTTGGCAGGGCACCAGCAAAAATTTTGTGCACTCTCGTCGCCCTTTAACTGTGTCACGGCTTCTTTCTCCAAGCCGCCCGTTCAGACTCTGGGCTTTCCGGTTGCTTTCCACTTTTCCGACCTACGCTACGTCCCCACAATCTTGCCCTCCATTATCCTGCATGTTTGTTGCCGAGAAGCCGCCAATGTCGTCTGGCGTAATGAGCAGTCTCTCAGTACTTGGGCAAAGAGAAAGGATTGGGGTTTACACACACACAAATGATATGTAAATACCAAACAATTTGCCATGAGACCATGGCTGGCGGCAGGATGGGTTTTCCAGCTTTGAGGCCTTATTTGATTAGTGCTTGATCAGTGCGCCAAAAAGTAGGCAACGTTTGCTTGATTTTTGGCAGCCATTCTGAAGGATTTCGCAAGCAGGAGGAAGGACGATTGTAACGAGTCATCTTAATTGAGGCTGGCAGAGCCAAAAGTGTAGTCATAACTGATATGTAATCGAGTCAGAGGTCAAGTTCTTGTATAACTATATAAGAAATACTATTTCCATAAAAGGAATTCCTGATAAAACCGACTCAATAACTGTCCCATAAACCTTATTTAATCCTCTCCGCTGGCTTGCCTCACTTGGGAAACATTTCACTCCTTTGTGAAACATTTTCCATTTCCACACAAACACACACGAAAATTAGAATGCGTGGCCATAATAAATTATATTTTTTGGACACACATACTAGACACGCATGTAGCGTACGTGTGGCCAACACCTAAATGTAGGCAATAAAATTCCAACAAAATAACCAAATGCATAAATATGTTTTAAGTGCTACGTGAATAACGCCCAGAAATGCCTTAAATATGCTCATAATTTATGCAAAAGAACAGAGGGAAAAAAAAAAGAAAAACACACATGTATAGAAATGAATATTCAAAAAGTGAAAAGCAGGAGGAAAACTGGCAAAACTAGCGTTTCCTCCTTGTAAAAAGGGCAATGGCAACCATAAAATATGCAGGACAAACAATTGTTTTTGGTAAATATGTGGATCAAAATGCAAACCAAAAATCGGTTTGCGAAAATCATAGCAAATATGAGTAGTATAGCATATATATCTCATGCCAGCAATCAAACATTGAGTATGTAAATAAATGTTGATACTTAAATTGGGTGGGATCAAAGGGTTTTCATTACAATATATATTCATATTTGTGTGGGTTTTAAATGCATGCTGATTACTTTGAGTTGGGTGGCATCAATACATAAACATGGTAAATATTTAATATAGGTTTATGGAGACACATACCTGATCGCTCTGTGCTGTTTCAGTCACCGAAACATCATTACCAGACATTGTATCTGATTTAAATTACTCGATTTTCCCGCTTCTAACCTTGCATTAAGCTCAACTTTTGAAGAGCTGCTTTAAAAAAGATGAAATAGATTTATATAGAAATGAATTTATTTGATTATTCCATTCAATTTCTTTATATTCCTTTATTTATTTTATTTTTTTTTTATTGCATTTCGCGTACATTTCTTTGGCATTTTTCCCGTATTTATTCTGACATTTTAGCAATGATTTATCGCACAAAGCACACACATTTTATTTGCACTTCACACACTTTTCAAAAATTGTTCTCATCTGTTTCAAAACGTTTTTATTTGCATTCTAATTGATGCGTAGATTTATTGAAATACATATTCTCTCTACACACAAACACAAGTTGTCCTGATTGGAATGTTTTTGTGGCTTATTTTTGCTGCAAACTTTTCCAAAGCTATTTTTAATTAAGTTTTACGAATTAAAAACTAAGGGGGAGCTGCCTCGTTGAATATATTTTAATAATGTTTTTTTTTCTTGCATGCCACATGGCATCTGGGGTAATTTATCCTAAAGAAAATAACTGCTGCCTGTCACTTAATGCAAATTAAACAATTTAAATGAGCAAACAAACAAACCGAGGAAATCCCAAATTCTGGAAAGAAGAAAGGAAAGGACCTAAGAACAAGTTTTTGTGGCCAAGCCACTGAGTGCGCATTGCACATAACTCGTAACTCATACGCCCCGTTGTACAACGAGAATGGCCGCGTTTATAAAACGTTTGTTTGCCAGTTTGTTTGTATGTTTGTCTGTTTGTCTGTTTGTCTGTCTGCTGTTTGGTTGGTTGTTTTGCCTGGCTGCGGTTTTCAATTGTCAGTGCCAAAGCAAGCCCAAGAGCCCCGAAAAAAGGGGCGGCGGCGTAAAAGTACAAAAGTAAAAAGTAAAATAAATAAGAAATACGAAATAAATTGAATTGCGTAGCCGACTATAAAGAGACGACAGCACAACGTAGGTGAGTGGAGCAAAGCCAACTGGAACAGCAGATAAAAGCACAGCGTCCCCAAAGGGGAATGGAGTCAAAACAAGACAGAAAAATCAACAAAAAACACACAACAAATGTGATAAATGTGGTAATGTGCATAAAATATATGTATTTACTAAATTGTCAAATGGGTAAAAGAAATAAAGAACTCTTAAAGCTGGTGAAGAGGTCAGCATATAAGATGATATCTCGATTATCTGGTTTCAATTCGGATTTGGAACAGATGTCGAAAGTCCTGTCATCGAATCCTGGCTTCCCTTGCCTTAACGTCTTTTACCCTGAGACCCTTGACAAATCTAAGCTGCCAAGGGAGTTTTGCTTTTTGCAACTCTAGCATAAAGTGAGTTTCGATTTCTTGAAATGTATAAAAATATAGCAGGATTTGTTTCTTAAACAAAAGTACTGTGAGGGGTTTAAGGGGAATAATAGCAAAAAGAGAGGAAGCATTTAAAAGAATTTAAAGTCCCTAAAAAAACAGAAAAACTTTAAAGTTACTCAATTACATCAAACTCTCTATTTCTTTTCCCATATGAGTAGAAAAAATATAAGTTACTTTTTCATTTCAATTATCTAAATTTTCTTCAATTGCTTTAAAAGCTTTTTGTTTCGCCTGAGATGCTTGACAAATCTCATTCCTCGGCAGTTTAATTCCCTTGTCTTGTCTCTGGCCATTTCAGCAAATAAATATCTCTGACTTTAAGCCGTAACGACACACTATCCATTAAGTAACTTAACAACTGACCAAAGTCCTTTTTGAGTTTCTTAACTTGCGGTTGAGCTTGGAATTTGATGTCCTTTGGCGGTCACATCTGTCCCTGGTGCCGAAATGCATTAAATATTAATGAGTTTAAAAGCGGCAAGTAATTTGTTGTCCCCGAATGAGGGATTACAACATTTGCGGGATAAGAGCCATATTCAACGGACAAATCACCGGGTTATTGATATGGAAGCCAGGATTAGGGACAGGATAAGAATAGTGGAACCCCTCCAAATGCTTCGAATGGTTGACTGACTTCTCTTGCTAATCCAACAGATGCAGAGGACTGTTTGATTCTTCATTTTGTGCATTTGTCAAATGCGAGAACAAGGAATTGCAAGTGGCAACCGACAGGCGGCGATGGACAAACAAACAAACAAACAAACTTTGGGGAAAGGCGGAATGAATGATACTTGCATTTCAGTGAGCAAAAAAGGGGGGAAACCAACAGAAGTTTCATCAATTTTACACAATCCACTTAACTTGGAAAGCCAGTCAGTCACAGAGCGAAAGAGAAAGTCCTGGAAAAGGGAACGGGAATCTCCCTTTTAGTCTGTCAATTCATTTAAATTTCCGTTTCCCCTAGAAACAGGAAACTAAAAGTTAATTAAGGCTAGACACGGTAAGTAATTAACTTATTATATTATTTACAAAAACTTGTTCACTTAATATTTCTAAACAGAACCCATCACTATATCTCAGAAGTTAGTTGTCAAATAATATTATAACTTTTCAGGGAAGCAAAGGTTAGTAAAGAAAACTATCAATAGAAATTTCCCTCATAAATCCCAAGTTAAATTCCTAGAAAAGTTGAAAAATATCAAGGTCACGATGTCGGACAACGAAATAGAGTCCTATATGGAGGAGTTGGAAGAGGAGATGCTTGCGGCCAGAGGCAGAATTCCCATTGTGGGTCCAGTGAGTCCCAATCCAAATCTCCATATGGTCGACTATGCACCACTCTTTTCCTCCTCGATCACCTCACTGGATGGTGGTAGCCAGGGATCCTATTCCGATTCGGAATTCGAAATGAACATGAACAGGACACCTTCCCCTAGATTCGGTAGTCGCAGTGAAATCGAACAGGCCATTGCAGCCGAATTAGAGGCCGCCGATATTGCTCAATCCTTGGAGAATTGGCGTTCGGCTTTGAGAACAGTACCAGCTACCACAGATTTGACCTTGCCACAGACACGCCTTCTTAACATGGGTCGTTCCCCTTCACCATCTTCACCCTACTCGGCCTCGCCATCGACCTCGATATCGCAATTGATTCAGCAGAGAACCCGCAGGGTCAGGCGTCTGCAAATGCTGAATTCCATGATCCAGGATCTGCAGGATAGCCTGCCAGCGATCGGTGAGCGTCGTCGTCGTCATCGCAATCGTCGACGAAGGATTGTTCATTTCGAGGATCATGACCATTACCACGAGCGATTCCCATCGAATGCCTATGCCGAGGTCCTGCGTCGTGGCAATAGCATGAGTGATTGCAGCCAATGCAGCAGTGCCGAGGAGGATGCCCCCATAGTTCCCAGTCATCTGGTGGAGTGGTCATACCCAGGACCAACTAATTAATTAAATTTTAATGCATTTTGATATTTTAAAATGTATATATATTATATTATATATACTTTTTGGACAAGGGACTAGAATATAAGGCTGTGTTTACATCAAACTAAAATTCAAATGGAAATAAATAAAAGAGGAATTTCCCTATGTTAAGTTAGCCTTTTAAAATATATAAATTCAGTTATTCATTATTATTATTTAAATCTTTAAAATTTTCTAGACATAATCTTGATTTAATCTTCTCAATTGCCACAAAAGTTCAACAGAGATCGTAGGTCTCATAAAAAATGGTTAACAACTCCTCGGGAACTCGCTTGCCCCGGCAACTTGTTGAAAAGTCTTTAAGGTCCTTTTCATCTGGGAAATGGGGCGGACTTTTACTTCTTTTCATCTTTGTTTTCCCTAGTTTTCCCAGCAGCAGAAGCAGCAGCCGCTGCCACTTCATACGGGGCAAGTGTTTATATGCATCTGGATGAGCGGAGGCGGCAGCGGCAAGTTGAAAATAATAATGAATTTGCGGCATGCCACACAAACACTTGCTGCGGCCGCAACATGCGCCAGATTTTAGCCCCGGATATCAGCAGTAGCTGCACATGCATCAGACTCCACAGCCGGGAGTCCAATCCCACACGGAGAAATAAATCTATGAATTACTTTTGAGGCGGCCCCAAGTATCTATATATATATCCTGATCGTTCCTGGAGAGAGCTTGGGTAAGTAATACCTTTAAGAGCTTGTGGAAATCACTTGTTGGGGATTACACAAAGCAAATATACAAAAGGATATCTTTAGAAATGACTCCTAAGTTAGTCCTTGCTTAGAAACTTTGTGACCAACTAAGCCTCAAAAAGAATTCAAAAAGGACCAGTTAAAGAAAAGATAAAAGGTGTTAAAATGTGCATACATTTTTGTTTAAATAAATCCAGTTAATAATATTTTCTCTAAGTGTAATTTTCTTTTCCCATCCTCACTCATTCTTTAACCCACTGTGCGGCATGTGTGGCAGCTAATATGTTGGCTTGGCAGTGTCGCCTCTTGGAGCCGTTGAAAAATGCACTGACATGTGCCACAGCTGCTGCTTACTCCCGCGAACCCCTCTGGATCCCTTTTGGATCCCCCTTTTCTTCCACGCCCCTATAAAGCATTTCGCCACCACCTCTCCCTTGAAACAAAAACAAATGCACACAGGACGTGGGCGACTGCGTGTGCTCCTTCCTATCTCTCCCACTTTTCAAGAGGGGGCGTGTGTTGATGCGCTGAACAATAGCTATAAAAAGGATTAACTTGCATAACAAAGGAGATGGGGTGCAAGATGAGAGGGGGGTGGAGGGGCTTGGACCCGGCCAGAGCTTGGCATATAAATTTCAACTCGGCATTGGTCGAGTTCCAAATTTATAGCTCACACCCTTATGCCTTTCCCCACCAAGATCCAGCATATGGTTTCGGAATTGCCTTTCATTGTTTATCTGAGGCTGTGCCTTTCAACTTTTGCTATTTAAAAAGTGAAGTTATTTTATGGCAAATTGCAGAGAGAACGTATTTTATAGATCATTTGTAGTTGAATAATTTAAAAAATATTGTGAATTTTAGATTTATTTTCTCAAGGCATGTTTTACTATATAATACAAGTAGTTATGGAGTTTGTAAAATTCATTTTATATTGAAGACAAGTTAGATCTTAATTGTTATATTGCTATCAGTTCCTGTTTTGGGTGAAGCCATTCCTGAAATATTTTTTTATTTAGCTTTAAAAGCAGTAATTTATATGAATTAAATGTATACAAGTTGGAAATGTTGAAGAAATTTCTTTAAATGGTAACAAAAACCTAATCTTAGCACCCATAACATTTCCCATAAATAACATATTGATATTTCAATACCAGCTCAAGTGTCCTTTATTTGCAATATTTACTTAAAGTAACCAATAAAAAAGCAAACAAGAATTCAAGCTTATTGGTTTTTACTTGTTATGCTGTCAAATAAAATTTTCTATTGTCAGATGTTTAACAGTTCGTGTCCTCCTATTTAAGGGAACGTCTCCCCCCAGCTTAAACCCCACGTAAACCATCCCTGTTCAGATACTTTGCTGTCCAGCCTTGTGGCGCCTCGAAAAGGACCATGGAGAGCCATGCGCGCCTTTCAGTCAACTGCAACTGCTGCAATTTCTCATTTTAATAAAAATGCAAATGTCTCCGGCTGAGGAAAGTCAAGCTTGCCATCGCTACAGCTGTCTCTTTCTATTATCACTTTAGCCATCTCTTTTCCGCCGCTTTTGATACCACTTCCCTTAGCCTCATATTAAATGCCAGCAAACTTTTCGATTTTACGGTATTACGAAAACAAAAGCACACGAAAACTGCAAGGCATGGCGAGGCGAGGCTGCAGGCAAGCCAAGGAACGTCGCAAAAAAGAGCGAAAAATCGGCAAAAGACAAATAAGTTTTCAATAAGGTCCTTAAGAATGTTAAAAGGAATGAAAAATAGAGGATTGCACTCAAGGTTGAAGGTTGAGTAAAACAAAGTGTCAGTTTACAGCTGTCATTCCCCGAGGGACATAAGCCTCCTCTCACTCGCTCTGATTCTCTGCCCGCCCGCTGCTTACACTCTCTCTCTTCGCCGCCATAGTTTTTCCATCTCGCTCTTTCCGGTCCTGTTGCTGTTGATTTGCCACCAGATGGCGCTGCACTGCAGAGCAGACAATTTTGGGGGATTTGGAAAATGATTTTAGAGTTTATAGAGTGCATTTAAAGGAATTAAATGGGATTATCAGTCAAAATAGAGTGTTTGGTTAGTTAGAAATAGTACAACTTTAATATACCTATTTTTAAAACATACTCGTTGTATTAAAATCAGTTCCATAAAAGGATTACCCACCGGAAGTAGAGGTATTATTCGATATTTTAGCTTCTCTTTATTCATTTATAATTTAATCTAACTAAAAACAGCTAGCTTTTAATTTAATTACATTATTTTGCTGTGCCTTTTATTGTCTTTTAAAAATAGTTTCCTGGCATCACTGTATAAATGGCTTCCCCTTTATATCGCCAACACACCCACAGCACCGGCATCGAGCCGTGTGGGCCGAGCTTAATTAATCTAATTGAAATAATGCCAGCGACAGGCGAGAGTCACACATATGGCTGGTCGGCTTACGGCACTAACAATGGCTTAGGACAATGCCAGATTCGCTTATAGGAGATCCCAGATTGCCACTGGGACAACGGGGGGACGACGACGACAAATGCTGGGAAAGGCACAAAAGGTTCTTTGTCTTCGCTGTGCTGAGATGCGATGAGGTGGAGGACTTGAAGTGCACACTCTCTAGGAATCAACTTAATTGGGAATCTCGTTAACGAGTGGCACTTTAAGTGCGTGGCAAAGGTTTAGGTCAATGCCACAAGCACACAAGTCTTCAGTATTTTAATTAAGTGTACACAAATATTTTATATTGAAATTGAATTTACTGCGAGGACTTGGGGTAACTTGGGGTCTATGCTGGCGCTTGCTTGCTGGGAGGCGCTGGCGCTGGAGTTGAACCCGCATTGGTGGACGGTGGTCTTGGTGGCTGGGTTTCCTCCACCTTACCCACATACTTCTCCACAACGCTGACGATCTTCTCCGGGTTACTGCCCACAAACTGCAACAGGGTCACACCATTCTTGATGATCACAAATGTTGGCATGCTGCTGACATCGTACTGAACAGCTAGTTCCTCATTCTCATCCACATCGATCTTGAGGATAATCAAGCGACTTGCATATTCATTGGCCAGTTGCTCCAATCGTGGTCCGATCATGGCACAGGGACCACACCAGGTGGCAAAGAATTCGACAAGTATGTGCTTGGTACCCGCATCCTCCAGAATTTTGGTAAAGGCGCTTTTCGAGTCTATAACTATAACTTTCTTCGGCGCCCCAGCCATTGCCTACGAGTAGAGTTAGCTTACGAAATTTCCAACGAACAATTTTGAAGTTTTCTATTTTCTCAATTTGTTGTTTTTTTTGCTACTGTTCATTTTTTCTAAGGGGGCGTTGAAGTGACAATAGGCTCTTAGCTGGTTGCGAATCAAAGGGCATGTGGCCTTTTATCCTGTGGTAATGGAGGTGTCTTTGGTTTTTGTTCTCTTCATCGTAGGCGTTTACACATGTATCTTACTTTTTAAGTCAGCCTTTTTGTTTTGGGTTTCAGTTCTTAGGCCAAGCTTCGGTTGCACTTTTCAGGAAAGTGTTTTCCATTTAGATACCCTAACTTATGGCCTAACAGGCTTGGTAATGAGTAACAAATATCAGAAGGTTAATTTATATTCTTTTCTTTGAGATAGCATTCATAAATTTCAGTTTATTATGGACCTACCAGTAGTATTTATTATAATATATTATATTTTTTATTCTATATTATATTAATGCATTGAATTTATATTGTTAAAGGGCATTCTCTGTTTTGCTAATTTTAAGCCCAATAAAAGATGGTTCTAGAGACAGCACCTTTTTGGATTTTATATTATTTAAACCACCAAGAAACTCATTTTATATCACAGATTTAAAGGTTAATTTAAGTACTTAAAAAATTCTTAAAAATATAGGGTATCGAGGCTTACGTTTACCCTTTTTTTTCAGCCATTTCTCATAGTGTTTACTGCTTGTTTGTCTTGTCTTGCATTTGTCACAAATTAAGACAAATGCATCGCAGTATCTTGAGTGTGTTTAAGCTTGTTGCCACGCCCATCTAGCGCCCCGCCCTACATTTTGTGTGTGGTGCATGTGTTTGCCAGCCACAAATGCGGGCGTCTGTTATCTCTTGAGTGTGTTTACCTAAGCCTTTATTTTCCACTGTCTTTTTTGCTTTACTTGTGCCTTTGTTCTTGTCTTTATACCCCAAGCTCTGTGTTCTGTGTGGGATTTGAGTTCACGTGGCTGCTTTTGCGGTCTAAGCTTGCTTCAAGTGTATCTCTGGGTTGATTCTACAAATTCTGTCAACTGGGCTTGCTTAAGCCACTTGCCACTTGCCACTTGACATTGAGATAGTCATTGATAATTCCAAGGAAACAGAAAGAAAAGTACTAGAAAGGCAGAGCTATATTTTAGATAAGTATGTTTGGTAATGTATGATTTATCTGGTATTAATATATAAGGTTTTTCTCCCTGTTTCTATGCTCTTTTTTTATCCATTCACACCTTATCTTCTTGCTCTGCTTGCATAACTTAATGAGCGTCGCTTTTGCTTAGCTTGCTTAACGCGCACGGCAATGGCCGCGAAACGAAATGGAATGGAACGGAAATGGCTGCCACACACATACAAGGTGCATTGCTGTTGCGCAATCAGTTCAACATCCGGTCGTCGCAAAGGATTTTCATTTCCAACGACAGCTACAATGCTGACCTCGTAACGCATGCTAAAGGTAATGGAAATAGGCGGACGGGCATGAGAATTTACGTATATTTATACATAGTAAAGTCTAGAATCCAGCGAATATATATGTATATATATATATTTTTTGGACCGCCATTCAGTTATCCGTGGTTTTGATGGAGTGCTGAGGCGAGTGGAATAAGTCACGTAGCTGGCAAGACAAATTGCTTCAAGTGCAAGTGGAACACTCTCACTTGGCTTTCCTCGGGCCAGTCAGTTATGCGGTTAGACAGTTATTTTTATTGCGCATACGCCATGTGGCTGGCATTCGAAATAAATGTATATACATATATGCTATGTTTGTGTGTATTTATATTGCGGTCAACTACAAAATGGGGTCGAAATGGTTGTGGGGGATGGAGCTAAGATTATTGTCACTCCTGTCAAGAAATCAAATTTCTAGACGCAACCATATCCATTTCCCCAAGATCAGGCATCCATTCGTGATGGATTTTCGCCTGGATTTAGTGCAAACAATTTTGATGTTGATGTTTAGTAGTTTGTTCGCATCCTTGTGGTTATAAAACCGTCAGAAAATCCCGGAAATTTGTCCATCATAGTGTTAAGTTTTTAGATAAAGCCGCCGCACATTCTCTCCTCAGCTAAAGTATGCTATTTGGAACTGGCCAACGACTTCTTGGTGTTTCAGGTCAGCAGCTGGTTCCAGGCCACATAATTGGCTTTTGTTTTGTCGAAAAACAACAGAGAAAGCAGCAGCAGTAGCAGTAGCTTTGGTGTTTTGGAGCACGTTTAAGCATGTCAATGCCAGATGCCGTCTGACAAAATGATGAACAATACAAAACACAAAACACATAACACCACAGAGCCAGTCCAAGACAGAAGATGCAGAACGCAGAACGCAGGATGCTGGAGGAGTCCAAATTCCAACACCAAAACGGTAATTTCAGTTAACAAGTTTATGGGCTCCATTCGGGGGCGACAATGAAAGTCTCGTGCATTTGGAATTTTTGAGTGCGTTGTACAATACATTGGACCAAAGGCCCCAACTTCCTGTTTTTCTCCTCATTTCCGTTTCCTCAAGCACTGAGCAAAATAACAGCCAAGAAGCTAAATTCGAGATTGAGAAAAGGAGTTTTAAATAAAGTAGTTCTTCCAAAGCTAAATTTATAGACTTTATAAGTGCCTTTCTTGTTATTTATTTCATATTTTCTTTCTCATAATTTACGTCAGTTCCTAGGAACTTTTTCCCCATCATTTGAAATTAAAGATAAACAATAATTCTGGCACCCACGACATATCTCTTTTGTTTTCGAATTAAGAACAAATTTCTTCGTCTGTTTGGTATTGCACATTCATTTGGCTGCCAGAACGCACACAATATGCTGCTATTTCAGCCTGCCACGCTCGCCTTTTGTCAATGGCAACGAAAATCTCTCCAAAAACACAAGCAAATTTTATTTGCTGCCAAAAATTTTGATGCTCGAACCGAAGCAAGAGATTTCCACCCATTTCCCAGGCGTGTTTGAGCGAGCTCTTGTTTTTCTTCCTCCGCCTTAACAGCTTCTGTTCACAGTGCTCCCTGATGCTGGTTTTGGCTGGTTCTGGTTCTGGTCCTTCTATATTCCTGGCTCTCACCCCTAACCACATGACAGTTGGCATTTGGCGGTGCTGAGCCTTGTAATGAGCTTGGGCGTATGGTAGGAGGTCCTGGAGGAGGACAAACAGGAGGCGTTGGCGCATAAACAGGAGTACCAAACACCACGCCCAGGACCACAGTTTTTACAAGCTGCTAATGTGGGTGCCTCGTGTGAATGGGATTTGCATTTGCCTGCTGCTACTGAATTTGGCAGGCGGCAAAAGTAGTCCTTTTATGTCCTGGCTTTGCAGAGAATCAGCAAATTGGGAGGACCTTATTGGAATTGCTTCATTCTGTCGTTGACTTGATGTTGAACTTAGCAAGCTAACAAAGATGGCTGTGTACTGTACTTGGTCTTTATTTAATCCTGATTTATTTAAGTATAATTTTTGCTAATTGGGGTAGTGGTTACTCTAAGTAAGATTATTATTTAACAGATATAATTGGGGAGTATTTGTAGATGTTATAGAATTTAAACACACTTTAAAAATGTGGTAGTGAAATGTGTTTAATAAGTCTCCATCTACTTGATATATATATTTTCCCTTTACCCTATCAACATACTGTATTTTCTAGAGCTTCTCTATAATATGTGTAAGCATTTTTCATCTCTCTCCCCCGCCCCCACAAATATTGAATTGAATTTCAATTATTAGTCATGGAAATTGACTTCCCAAGCGACTGTACGTGACGTAGATCGCTCTGCTCTTTTCCACAGTTACCCTCATAATTAATCACTTTAAAATGCAAATATTTTGCCAATACTTAGCCGACAGCTTTGCAAAACGCCTCAATAAACTAAATGCCACAACCAGGCAACTTGGGTCTCACCAAGCAGCTTTCTTTAGCTCCCCATCTCTCAACCCCTTTAACTTGGCTAAAGTTTCAATCAATCAAATGCCACGATAGAAATCATCAGCAGCAGGAGCGGCAGGAGCAGGCTGTAAGCAAAAAGGATAAAGGGTGTTGAGTAACTCCCGACAGAGCTCACGAGTGGCATAAAAACCACATGTGCCTTAACATTTTCCTGCCCCAGATGGCAAAAGGAGTAGCTCTTTTTCCCAAATGGTTTGCCCTTGTCCTGGTCCCGGTCCTGGTCCTGGTCCTGGTTCTGGTTCTATTTCTTTCCTCTGGTGCCTGAGTAGCTGCTTGTAGCTGCCTAACAAGCTGCGTCAACAAACTAAACCACTTTGAAATTAACACGTTACATTGACATTGACAGCTTTATGCGTGGCATGCCAAGTGTCGCTGTAACTAGGACTTTCCAAGGAGTATGAAGAAGGAGCCAAAATACATTTACAAAAATAATAAAATATTGAACATATAATTTTGAAAATATTTTCAATTGATTTGTAAATAATTTGAGTGAATGAAAGAGTAATAAATTCAAATAAAAAATGCTTGTAGACTCCGAGTTTATCCCATTTTTTCTACAAAATGTTCTTAGATTTTTCCCAAAGTGTAGCATCTGTAGAGGCTCAATGATGAGGCGGCAATGGCAAGCTGTCACTTACTGAAGTATCGCTGGATACCCTGGTTTGGTTCACAAAACTCCATTGGTGGGAAGTCGCGCAAAAAAGGCAATTTCCGTTGTGTGGTGTGGTGTGGGGGCAGAGCAAAAAAAGGGGGTAAATGTAGGTGGGTGTAGTCTCTGAGGGGGCCAAAGAGGCTTGAATGCCACCCAAGTCGCGGTGGCAGGAATTACCAATTCAAATGTCAGGCAATGGCAAAACACTTCAAGTGGAATTAAATTCAGTGTCAATTGGTGGCCCGCCTAACGAGAATTGTACGCGGATGCCGCCAGAATCCGAATGTACGAATCCGTTGCCAGGCAGAGGCTTCACCTTAACCCATTAGTTGTGTGGGCGGCAAGGTTAAGGCGGCATCGTGGAGTAGAAGGTCCTTGAGAACCCTGAAAGTCTGTTACGGAACCCAAACAATTTTTCAACTTCCACCATTCTTTTCACTTAATTTTTCTTCCCTTTCTTTTTAATTTCGGTGCGTGCTTGACCCAACAGAATTTATGTTTGGT